TTTGATTAGGATTTATATTTATTATCAACATGTTGGAAGCCTAATAGGTCACACACATTAAGTGACATGATTGAGATTAAAAAAGATAATCAATTAAGTTAGATTCAATTAGAATAGACTGAAATAAAGTGAAAAAGTGATTAAGTTCACAATGACCTAATTGAATTAAAATACAACTGTTGCATTCAAAGTTACAACTTAGTTTGGGTATATAAATATGTTATGCTAGCCAACTAAAACTTTAAGCCTCAACCACTTCTTAGCCGTTTCATAAATATAGGAAAATAAAAATAGTTTTTTTTCTTGACAGAAATAAGATTTGATAAGAATTTTTTGTTTTTTTATTTAAAAAAAAAACTTGCTAACATAAGTAAAATTTTACCTTTGAAAGGTCTTATTTGGTCACTGTGTGGACTACTGTCAGATGCCAAATACTTGAGTGGCTGAAGATTTGATAATCTTGAAGGTGAAGAAGCAAAAGATTTCACTTGCAAGATTTTAGATTGTCTTATTTTCTTTTCCGAGTTACTTGCTTAATCACAAGCATTTTTGGATTTGGTTGGCCATTTATTACGATATTTAGAGTAAGGAATGTAGCTCTTAAATTGATAAATGTTCATAATTAATTTAAAAATTACATGAAAAATACAAACATTGATCCTATAGGATTGTTTTTCTGATTAAATGCTAGTTTATTTTTTTGTTGTGTTATATTTTTAATTTCATGATTACTTTCATGTTTAAGCATGAGGACGAATCCCAACAATGGTATCAGAGTCTTTGTTTGATGTTTTTTATGTAATTTACATACTTGATTCTAGGTGATAATCAATAGGATTAATTTGTTTATTAATTTGGTATATATTGGTTTTGAAGCCTTTCTTTAAAATTTGATTTTCTGTTTTAATTCAAATTTGGACTGCATATGTTTAATCCACTAAAACATATTTTAAAAGGTTTAAAATCATGTTTAAGTAAAGAATTAATGAATGGATTAGAAGGTTTGCAAAGCCAAGTTAAACCGAATAGTTTTGAGGTGTTTTGGAGACAAATGTGCTAATTATTTTTACTGACATTGGGCAAGCATTATGAGTAGTATTTAATTGTTAAAATTAGTTTTATCAAATTAAATTAGTACATATTTCGGTCAGACTTGATTTAGTATGAAAATGTTTCATAAAAATCATGTTTTTGAGTTCCAAAACAACAAAAATTCAATACAGAAAATTTTAGGCAGTTATGATCGGTTTTGGTGGCTTAATTCTTCATGAATTTTGTATTTAACTGTTAAACACATTTGCTGAAAATTTTCAGCAACTTTCTTCATGAGTTTGATTTTTTATTTATGGAGTTTTATGAGCAATTAAATGCCATCTATTTTAGTTTTGGGTGATTGATAAAGAATAGGAAATTGTTTCCTACTTTGAAAGCAATTTCCAAAATTAAGGATAGAATTTTAATTTTGAGTGATTCATAAAGAGCAGGAAATTGTTTCCTACTTTAAAAGAAATTCATAAAATTAAGGATAGCATTTTAATTTAGAAAATTCATAGGAAACAGTTTCCTACTTTAAAAGAAATTCCTAAAGTTATGTGATAGCATTGAACTTTACTTAAATTTTGATTTGACTAGAAGTTTTCAAAATTTATTAAGTCATCATTTAGGTAACTTGAACAAGATACAATTTTGGAAACTAATCCATATTCTAAATTTTAGAAATTAAAATGTTGTCTTAAATATATTTTAGAAAGTTTACCTAAACTAAAGAGTTTTTCAAAATTTAAAGGAGTCTTAATTATGGAAAGAATTAAAATGGAAAGTTTTATTTCAATGAATTTCTATTTAAGCAAAAAGAGCAAAATGTTTACTTTAAGTATTTTGAAAATGAAACTAAGCTACATGGCATATTGAAAAAAAAAGTTGTTACATGCCGTGTTGAAAGAAAAAATTATTACATGTCATGTTTAAAGTGTTTAACTCCAAGAGTTTATGTCATAGTGAAATATAAATATAGAGATCAAATTGCAAGTCATATTCAATAGATTGTTTCACGCCAAGTGCATTAGAGTTGTTACATGCAAACATGGCGTGTAACAACTCTGGACAGTATTCTAATTTATAGATTATATTTATATAATTTCAACCTATCAACTTTGGAGTCTTGTGAATGTAAATCACTAAATCTAAGAATATACATTGATGTCATCTCTGCTCTTTGGTTTGTAAATTGACGACGATATGATGAGAAATGCACAAAGGAAGATGATGATGGTAGTAAAATTAGAGAGAACTGGATGGAGTGAAAGAAAAATCAAGAGCACAGCAGACGGATACAAGAGAGAGAAATCAATAAAATTAGAAAAAGTTAGATGGCGAGATAGAAATCAAGAACATAGTAGACGGATGTTGGAGAGAGAAATCAAGAGGAAAATTATGATAAATGGTTTAATTTATCTTAAATTGTTTCAAGGGCATTTTTGTTAAATCATGATAAAAATTAGATAAAAATAATTAACTTTGTATTAACGGTTATTTTTGAAACATTTTATCAAATTGACCATTTCTCATAATTTCCTCATATATATATATATATATATATATATATATATATATCAACTATTCTTTTACAAAGTATAAAAGAAACTTGACCAATTCAATTTCCTAATGAAAATGAAAATCACTTTTCATGCATATCTTTTTGTTGTCTTGGGCAAAACGCAATAGGCTTCACACAACTTTTCGAAATGTTTACAACAACGAAAGCTGGCTTTCACAATATCTATTTAGTCGTGTAATATCTTTATCTTCGTCAAAAAAGTACACTTTTTTTATGGTGGATTTTGCCTATGTTTAACAAAAGTGTCATTGCGTGGTCCAATACAAAGCTCAAACCAAAAATCATGAAATCTTCTAAATGTAAATAAATGCTTGTTTAATCTAAAACAAGGAGGAAAATGCGGGTTTGGTTAACAAAACAGCACTCACATAACAAAGCAAAAGGTAAAGGCCACTTGCATCAGATCCTTGCTGAGGCCAAATAAACATATATAGAACATGATTTGTGCCAGTTGAAAGTTAAAAACAGTAGCTATCAAGCAAAAGTCGCTGAAAAATTGAGTGCTATACGGTAAAATATCAAAGCAAGCAGATCTGTGGAAGTAGTGAGCACATACCATGGCCAGGCAACCTCATGTAATGGTTATACCACACGCAGCACAAGGTCATGTAGCTCCTCTCATGAAGTTATCCCTGCAAATTGCAGCTCATGGAGTGAAAGTCACATTTGTTAATACAGAATTCATACATGAAAAAGTTATGGCTTCCCTACCTGCGAAAGCTGAGCAGCAGAGCCCTATAAGCCTAGTTTCAATTCCAGATGGGCTGGAACCAGAAGATGATCGACAAGATTTTGTTAAGCTGACAGAAAGCATGTTGAGAGTTATGCCAGGTCATTTGAGAAACTTGATTGAGAACATTAACCGGTCCAATGTTGCCGAGGAAATCACTTGGGTTCTAGCTGATATGGCGGCTGGGTGGGCACTGGAAGTGGCCAAGAAAATGCGAATCAAGCGAGCCGCGGTACTTCTTTCTTCTCCAGCAAGCATGGCTCTGGCGCTATACGTTCCACAGCTCATTGAAGCTGGCATTATAGATACTGATGGTAAGAAAGTGACATGTAAGCCAGAAAAAAGAAATGATTGTTCTGTCTTTATAATTATACAATTCTAATCTTTCGTGTGTCGGACACACGCATTCAGACATAGACTGATTGACACAATCAGTTGCTTAATCTAATGAGCATATAAATTTTTGTAGTAATTGATTTTGATGCCCAACAAAATCGTTGAAAGCAAAAACTGCTCTTGATTCTGATGGAAGAAGCTGAACTTCTTTGTAGGAACTCTTATAAAAGATGAACCAATCACACTCTCAGAGGATATCCCTGCCTGGAGTAGCTCTGAACTCTCATGGAGCTGTTGTGACCCAGTTATGCAGAAACTTCTATTTGCATATGTTTCTACGGCCCTCCGAACTTGCAAATTTTCCGACCAGATTCTTTGCAACACATTTTATGAGCTAGACTCATCAGCCATGAAATTGATTCCCAAAATCATACCCATTGGTCCATTTACAGCATGTAATAATTTTGAAGCATTTTCTGGAAACTTTTGGCCTGAAGACTCTACTTGCTTAAACTGGCTTGATAAACAAACTCCAGGCTCTGTCATTTATGTTGCATTGGGTAGCACAACAATCTTAAGTCCGCAACAAGTAGATGAGCTAGCACTGGGTCTTGAACTCACTGGCCTTCCATTTTTATGGGTAGTCAGATCCAACCTGACAGACGGATCAACAGTTAAATTCCCAGAAGGTTTCATAAATAGAGTAGCTGGTCGAGGAAAACTTGTCGAATGGGCGCCTCAGGAAAAGGTACTAGCTCACCATTCTATTGCTTGCTTCCTGAGCCATTGCGGGTGGAATTCCACCTTGGAGGGCCTAAGCACAGGGATACCCTTCCTGTGTTGGCCTTACTTTGCTGATCAATTCCATAATAGGAGCTACATTTGTGACGTTTGGAAGATTGGCTTAGCATTGGCTAAAGATGAGAATGGAGTCATAACAAGGAATGAAATGAGTACAAAGATCAAGATATTGCTCTCTTCGGATGGAATAAAAGCAAATGCATTACACCTGAAGGAAGTTGCTAGGAAGAGTGTCAGTGAACGTGGGTCTTCTTTCAAAAACTTTAAAAGCTTTATTGAACAGATACAGCATTAGAAATGTTTACTGGTTACCTTCTTTTCTGATGGGCTAATATTCCATCCAAGTGATTTCTGTGGGTAATATCAAGACTTGGAAATGCGTTGATTAATTAAATGTTTGCTTGCCAAAGTCGTGGTATTGGTAGTTTTAAGTGTTAATAGAAGCTGAATATACAACTACTATGGCTAGACTTACACTCTTACAATTACAGAAGTTTTAGCAGCGGCTATAGTCTCGACACAAATTGTCCTGATGAAACTCCCTTTAATACCGAACCTGTTAAATGATTTAAATTACTGACTATAACAGACAAGATATGTAAACCATCTTCATCCCTCCATTAAATTTAACCGGATTCTGCATCAATAAGAGCTTGTTTCAGGCTAAAGTAGAAGGACAAGCATCGGCATGTTAAGAAGGTAATGGGATATATATTGCTGCCTCGGGAAATAGCCTGAAACGTCTACCCAAACGGCAAGGGTAATCTTTATGGAAAAATCAGCAAAAGTCACATTCAAATTCTTAATTAATTCACAGGCAGCAAAACCAAAAATTTAATTGTGCGATATAATATTTTAAAGCAGGATGTGCAGTCTGACATCACTCTCCTTTGATTTCATGGGACAAATTTATATGGTTTTCATTGTCATGATCAGCACTATAACTGACGTTGTTTTTTCGAGATGATATATAATCCTGGTGGCCCCTTGCATAATCGGACAAGTGGGTCGTAAGTTGTGACTAAGGGCCACATCTTTTGATGGAATCCCTTTAATAAAAAGGAACAACTAATATATAAACGCAACATCTCTCCATGATCTTTTAGATGACAACCCTTTAATAAAAAAATAATAAATACTAGCAAATTTCAAAGGGAACCTTCCATCAATTAGAAAGAGAAGAGACATATTGAGCCTTAGAATATATACATTGTATGACACTAAAGTGCTACTACAATTTCTTAGTTTGAATTAGGTACGACTGCCAGCATTCGAGGATACGAAAACAAGAAAACAAGAAAAAGTAACTATGACTAAAGAAAACAGCAGTGAGCCACTAAATCATTTGACCAATAAAGCATGGAGCATATGATTTTCTGGTTCCCAAGACAAGGCCATATTGCTGGCATTCCATATTGCAGAATCAAGTTCTAGTTATTTGTGCAAGTTATTGAATGTTGGAGTGACAGCAGAAGTAGCTATCAAGATTCAGATTGCCCTAAACCCTTGTGATTTAATTCAGCTATTAAGTTTTATGTTGTCCCTACGTTTCATTTCTCATGGAGAATCTGTGTCCCACGCGTATGCCCGGCACGCACCGTGAGTCCAGATAACATAGTATATAGATTAAAATTATAAACCAATTCTCTTGATTCCGTGCAAGTTAGGATGTTCTTGGTTAATTGATTGCTTTACCCCTTTCAGCCTCTGTTAATTGTTTCTTTACAGAATTTTGTTCACTAAAATATGTGAATTTTTTCGTATTATATTTTTATGAATTTGATATCTTTGCTTACAAGATGGATGAACTTACTAAAATGAAACCAGGATGGTTGAAAATAACCTTTCAGAAGTTTTTTTTTAATAATAACGAACCTAAACAAAACAAAATTCTATGAAAACCTGGAGGAAGGGACAGTCACCAGCCGACAATATAGACTCCGTCCGAAGGAAATGAAAAACTCAATATGAAATTTATTATTAAAAAAATATTATAATGTTATGAATATATATTTATATATATATATATATATATGTGAATATTCATTTTATATTATATATTTAGATTTAGATGTAGATTAGATTAGATTATGATTATGATTTAATCTATTTATCTAATCTTTTACTATTATTTTTATTTTATAAATTTTATTTAAACAAGGGTTATTAGTTTATAAGTAGACCCTCATTTCATTTGTAAACACACATTTAAATAAGATTTCTTATTCCCTCTACTTTCTCTCATAGTTATTTTTTAAAATTATATTTCATAATATATTATCGGCATGATTCTCTAATTTTTCAAGTTTTAGTGCTATTTAGTTTTATAATCTTCAAGTTTCAAAAGGATTTCAATGGTTGGTATTTTCTTTTTGTTTTGGTTTTACCGAATCAAGTAAATGACTTGATATATCTTCAATGTTTTCATCCTTGAAAATTGATTTAAATATGAATTTACTATCATGTAGTATGTATTATATTTTGTCCCTTGATTGAAAAGTGAATTTGCTATTATGTAGCTGCTAATGAAAAATCATGTACTCTATCCATTCCTTGAAGTAAATACGACATCATTTAATAATTATGATCATAGACATGGAAGAGGTCACCATAATAATTGTAATCATAGTACTTACACTAATCACTATTCTAATTCTAATAATACATTTACTCGCCGAAAATTGATAGATAATTTTAACGCACCAAAAGTTGACAGATAATTTTGCATCAGAAGTAGATGGATACTTTATGAGTCATCAGAAGTTGATGGATAATTTTGACCCATTAGAAGTAAATGGATACTTTTTGACCCACTAGAAATTGATAAATACTTTTTAAAAGTTGATGAAAAGTAAAAAGATACAATAAAAAAAATTAAAAGTGGATGAAATAAAAGAAATATAGAAAATTTCTCATCATCAATGTGGCATAAAAAGCAATTGGTCATATACTTGTACATTGAAACAAACTTTATCAACCATCACTGAATGTTAAAAGAAAAAACAATTTGAAGTAAATTTTGTTCAAAATGATTTTCACTATGACCACGTTGATTTTGCAGATTTTCTTGTCCATCCTAAAAGAGAAATTGATCATTTAATTAGTAATAAAAATATCCAAGAATGAAATTTCTTAGTAGTTTATTAGTATGTTTTAGTATAACTTTATCATGAAGATATTTTTATATGTTCTCATTATATTTAAATTATATATTTTTATTATGTATTTTAATTAGTAAATTATATATTTAATGTTCTCTTATGTCAACTTGTAAGTTTCTTATTATTTATCTTATCTTATTGAAGAAAAATATTAATATTCATCTTATTGGATCGAAGATCAATTATGTAAATATATATCTAGCAGACAATCCTATAATGCACACTATATTTAAAGATAAGAAATATTTTTTTCACTTAACAATGAAAGAAACTAATGTCAATATAATATCTAGAAATACAAGATTAATTGAAAACTCCAAAAGAGTTAATATTTTACTACTAAGAGAAATAAAGTTCATAATAAAAAATGCATTATTTTCTACTGAGTTTCAAAGAAATTTGTTAAGGTTTAAAGATATATATCTAAATGGATATTATATTGAGACAATAAATAAAAGAGATACTGAATACATTTATATTACATCTATTTTTTTGGGTAAAAAGTGAGTATTGAAAAATTACTTGCTTTATCCTTTGAAATGTATTATGCAAAAATTAGAATAATTGAAACTCATGCTATAATGATCAGAAGTCTACTAATGATTTTAATGTTTGGCATGACTGGTTGGACTATCCCAAATCAATAATGATGTGAAAAATTATTAAAAATACATGTAGTCATCTATTGAATCTAATAAATTTTCATGTATTGCTTGTTCTCAAGGCAAATTAATTATAAGGTCATCATTAACTAAAACTGCGACTAAATCCCTTATATTTTTTAAATATATTCAAGGTGATATATGTGGATTCATATATCCATCATGTGGAATGTTTAGATATTTTATAGTTTTGACCGATGCATCAACTAAATGGTCACATGCTTGCTTATTATTATATTTTAATTTGATATTTGCAATCCTTCATTTACAAGAACATTTTCTTGATTATACAATCAAGAATATTCGTCTTTACAATGTTGATAAATTTACATCTCAAGCCTTTAATAATATCGTATATTAGTTTGAATAACTATTGAACAACTTATTGCTTATGTTTATATACAAAACTGTTTAGCAGAATCATATATTAAATAATTTTTACTGATTGTAAGACCATTGTTTATAAAATCTAAATTCTCAATTTCTATTTAGGGCATACCATTTTGGATGTAGCATCACTTGTGCACATCATGCTAATGAGTTATTATAGATTCTCTTTTACAAAATCAATTTCTAATCAAAAACCAAATATTTTACATCTAGAATTTTTCAATGTACGGTATATGTTTCAATTACTCCACCACAATGCAAAATGATGAGTCCTCAAGGAAGGTTAGAAATAGATGTTAGATACAAATCTCCATCTATAATTAAATATCTAGAACTATTAATATGGGATTTATTCATGGAAAGGTTTGTTGATTATCATCTTGATGAAATAATTTTTCCAACATTAGCGGGAGAAAACAAGCAACTGGAAAAGGAAATATCTTGAAATGTATTATCATTATTTAGTTTTGTTCCTCGCACGATTAATGTGAACATAAAGTTCAAAAGATATTTAATTTACAAAATAGAGCAAATCAGTTGCTAGGCACATTTACTGACCAAAAGAGAGTAACTAAATTTCATATAACAACTGAAAATGCTCCAATCAAACTTGATGTCCTAGAAGGACAATCTTCTATTGCTAATGAGTCTAAGGCAAGCCAGAAGCGTGGGAGACCAATTGGTTTCAAAAATAAAAATCATCGAAAAGGAAAATGAGCAAATATTCAAGATGGTCAAAAAGAGAAAACATAAACTCCAAAAGAGACATTTGACATAATTAATAAAATTCTAAAAGAAATTGAAGTACTTGAAATCATTGAAAATGAAAAGATCATGATAAATGATGTGAAAAGATGAAATCGAAATTAAATAAATGTCGATGATTTTATTTGCATATAATGTAGAGCACAATATGATGAAAG